GCGGCGGGCGGCGCGGCGGGTGGGGCGGCAGCGGGGCACCCGCGAGATGGTGCCGTGGGCAGCGCTGCGGGGAAGCGAGGAAGGGGCGGAGGGAGGGAGGAGGGGGGGGCGGCTCGCCTGCCGCCCTCGAGCCGCGACAGCCGGTGCCGTGGCCGGCCCGCCTTCGAACGCGAAGGGGGGACGGCCTCATGCCGCCTCACCGCGAGAAGCGGCGGCCGGCCGCCACCTCAAAGGAGGCCTCTCGCGCTCGAAATACGTGCGAGGCACCTGCCGAAGGGGGTGGGGTGGTCGGGCGGTCTAGGGGAAGGCGTATCCGGTGGGTGGGCGCCGCTCCTACAGCGCGCGGGGCGGGGAGGCCGACTGCGGCGGTGATACGGTCGCGCGCGCGGGGCGTGGAGGGCCAGGGAGGTGGAATCCGGGGCGGCGGAAACCTCCGATTTTTTGCAGTTCTAATTAGCCCGAGGCTGGCCGGAGAGGATTGACGTATCCGATTTTTGTTTTTCCGCTGGTCCAGCCGGCCAGCCGTGCCTACGGCGAGAAAAGGAGCGTCAGACCCGGTCCGATCTCGCGCTCCAGCGGGAACGCCGAGCGCCTCGGACGCCAAGCGGAAACGGCGTTCCGAGGCGGGGCGCGGTGGCGATCGCCGGTCGGCGCCTTCGCGGCCGGCCGGCCCGGTGGGTTGCCACGGCACATGCGCCGCGCGCCGTCGCCAGGCCCCGCCGCCGCCCCGCCAGAGCAGCGGCGAGATGGGAGGCGGTCGGCGGGTACCATCGGCTCTTGAGCGAGCTTTCAGCTCACTTTGACGACGCTAGGAAAATCAATTCGTGGAATCCAGTCCGAGATGCAGTGAGGCGGAGCCTACCCTGAACGAACGAACTCGCGCCACTCCTCATGGCCCTGATGAAAAATTACGACCAATTATGTTAGTTGTTACCAAATCCACACACAAACACACGCTCAGCAACGCCGTCGGGGGCGGGCCAAACTCTCTTTTCGAGCGAGGTGAGCGTGCCGATGAAGTTGCTCGAGGTGTGATCAGCTGGTGCGCCGAGGCCACAGACGCGTCTGACTCCTGCGGCGCGGCTGGCCACTACGTGACCTGTGGCCATTCCGGGCCCACGTGACTCGCCCTTTGACCCTTGTCCCACGCGCCCCCAATGGCACGTTGACGCCCTGCTTAGCGGGTACCGCCAGCAGGGCTGGGGTGTCCGCCCATGCGAGTTGATGCATGTGGTACAGGTGGCCCGCGATGCCGTGAATGGCGCTCGAGTACTCGTAGTACGGCAGCCCAAAGTCCTTCGCGCACTGCTGGACGACGGGCTTGATCTTGAGCTGGTTCTCGTACGAGAGCGAAGGGAAGAGGTGATGCTCGATCTGCATCTCGAGCATGCCAGTGATGTAGCAGAGCGCGCCGAGGGTACCGTTGAAATTGGACGAGGTGAGCAGCTGGTGGGCGCCCCAGTCGCCCCCCTCCTGGAAGCGCGCGTGCAACGCGTTCGACTCGTTGACGT